GAATCATAGCTTGTTCTGTATTTACCAGTTATTCTTTGTTTTCCATTCTTAAGGAGTTGTTAATGGCTTTTGTGTTCATCTCCAAGAAAAAGCTCATGAGTGATGCATTCCTTCCAGTTCCATTCCAGGCAGCTTCTGTTTCAACCTACTAAAAATCTTCCTGAAAATCTGCTAAGCATAATGGTACTCCCCTATTTTACAATGCAATACTTTTACTTCTCCTAGACTCAATTACATGGAATAGTGTACACTTTCATTGAAATACTTCAGGCTATTTACTTCATTTCTGAAACCTGAAACAAGCAGGCACTGCAGAAATACAGGAACTAGATTACTAACTTGTGTTCTGTTTCTTCATGCACACCAAACTTGCAAAGCTGACAAAACTCAAATCTCCCATTTCCTTTGTATTTTCAGAAGTTTCTCATAGCATCCAGTCACGAAATATGTGAAGATTCACTAATAGCCACAGGGTGATAGCAAGAATGTAAACAAAAAGATGCCACTGGACTGCAAAATAAATGAGATGGGATTTGTTTTTAAAACTAATACAAAATTTTCAGTTGCAACAGCATATTTTTACACAGTCAACTTTCTATGTATACTTCTATGCCTCATGCTTGTGTGGGAGGCTCACCTGGAGCTGCTCAAGAGCATAGAAAGCATGTAAGTTACTCTTACAAGAAAGTAATGCCAACAAGAAAGTTACAAGAAAGTTACAAGAAAGTAATGCCTTCTATTTATTTCCATGGAAACTACAAAAGATACAAAGATCATAATAATGCTATTTGAAAGAGCAAATTTTCATCTACCAAATGCTATTTTTAATACAGTCACTACTATTAGCTATACATTTCCAGGAGTGACCAAGAGCCTGCATGCCTCAATCGTAAACTTTGTGTGCATTTGGAATATGCCTTGTCTTTCAAATTACTGTCGCCACTGCAAAAACGCACCACGTACTGCCTCATTGTGCTCACAGCCATTGTTTGGTCTCCATAAACATTCAGCAACTTTTGGATATTGTCAACCTGTGTTATTTTTTCCACACAGAGGTATTCAATGACACCTCATTGCTTCATGCGCACTTTCCCGTCAGACGCCATTCTGTCAGACTGCCCTTCTGCTGCCATCTGTTACAGGGCAACAAAACGTAATGGAACACTGGTGGGAAGGTTCAACCTCTACTACCATACCACCAACATCTGCCTCTGACATCGTGGGCCAACATAATGAAACAAGAGGCACTGCTTTAAGAGGAGCCCTCATATTCAGGTAGCCAAAAGAACCACAGACTGCATGAAGAGGTAACAGAAATAGTTCTGTAAAATTATGAAAGGAGAATAATGAAAGTGTCATCATAAAAAATTTTCAGTTTATCACTCTGGGTCTCCTGCATTTTCTCTGCCATCCCTATGATGGATCAAATTTGGTATTTTGTTTGGTTACTACATGTTTTATAGGATTTGTTTAGAGATCAAATGCTGGCAATCTTCCAGTACGTTTTTAATATGTTCAGCAACAAAAAAATCTGAATTCATTCTTTTGGACCAGTAGATATGATAAATGTAAATACTTCACAATGTATTTTCTATCCATTATATTTTCCTGCTTTTTCTAATGGTGTTGGGATTTTCAATAAAAATTAAAGAAACAGATGGCCTACAAATAAGCAGAAAGGAATAACCATTCTATTACATCAAAACATAAAACCTTGAAAGATTAGTAAAATAATAAGTATTCTAGGTTTCCTTAACCGATGAAGTTATGGAATAATTAATTAAAGGAAAAGATAGAAATGAATATGGCATTATTTCCACAAAAGGGTTTCAAAGCGATATAAAAAAAAGGCTCAAGTTCCATATTCCTCTTTGAGTGGAATAGCTGAGAAAAAAGAAAATGGCAGATTGTGTATGATACAGAAGACAGACAATGTATCCTGAAATTAATAGAATGCTAAATCCTTATTATAATACTTCATAGTAAATACCAAAATCATTTTACAACTGTGGGTTTATCCAGGAGAAGAAAGTCTCACCAGTTAATGACAATTAATGGGAAAGCTAACTATGCAGAAACTGAATACTGCTGGAGTTTACAGGTTATTATTTTCATAAACTTGGACCTCTGGAGCTGGTTTAACTGGTCTACAAGTTTTTCTGTATTGCTGCCAACGTGACAGGCAAGTGCAAGACACTGCAACAGATTTAACTAAAAGAAAACTAAAAGAAGCATTGGAAAAAAAAATAAGATGTTTATGAATTAGGGTAGGTAACAGCTTAACTGAGATGTTTTAAAGATTATTTGAAAGATGAAATCAATGGCAAAAGGAAAGCAAAATACTGACTGAAACAGAATTGGGGGATACTGGTAGTGATTAATTATGAATTGATATAGATATCACCTACAGTGTAGATGAACATCAAGAATTCTCAGCAGTGAACAATTCATGTCAATATTCTCTAATTTAAGCCAATAAAATATGTTAGATATCACCTCCTGGAAAGGCTATCAAGTAACAGATAAGTACAGAAAACATTATTTCTTAATTATAAGTCATGAGAAGAGATCATGAAAACATATGTGAAAGAAGGGTAGTGGAATTTTTGAGGTTAATAAAGGAAAAGAATGAAATTAAGGCATTGAATGAATGGCTGTCATGCATAGGAATATTAATGAATTAATGGCCATCATGCATATAAAGTAGTGTGATTACTGCTGACATACTGACTGACGTTCTAATTGTGATAGGACATAATTTTACATACTAGCAAATTTCAGATGTAAACTGACTTTGACCACTGCATTTATTTGTTTGTTTGTTTGTTTGTTTATTCATATCTTTGCGTGTTACAAATATCTAGGAGTTCACTGCCCCAGGGAGAAGAGACTTGGTTCATCACTGCCTAGTGGGCTAACATGACCTGAAAATGAGATAACAAGGCGTCTTCTACTAGGTTATATGAGTGAACGATCCAAAGGAGACAAATGGAGAGCAGGTACAATATCTGGGTTCTGAGAGAGGCTTTGAAAGCTGACAAATTTGAACTACTTTACCTTCAGAACATTTTAAATTTCCTAGCTCGGTTGAAGAAATCAGCAGTACAAAACTGTTATTTCAAAGCACAGGAAAATCTGATCAGACACAGAGATAAAGCAATAAAGTGACTAAATCAAAAAAAGGGGAAAAAATATGTTATTTCTATCAAGTTGAAATGGGTAAAACTGATGCTTTAGCACTGTGCAAACACCAATCTGAGATGGTGTACAGGTGTGAGTGTTTGAGGGGCCCATTTGCAAGCCAAAGCACATGAGACAAAAACTCTGACCTGGCTGAGATCAGAGTTGGGTTTATGGGAGAGAGAAGATAGATGCAAAGAACCCTGCAGGTATTGCTGTAGCACAGGTATGCACTGATCATGCTTCCCCCATAACTGCAGTACAGAGAGATGAAATCCAGAATCACTGCGTCTCATAAAGATTTACCTGCAAGAAGGGAAGATGCCATTTTTTGTGGGGTTTTTTTTGGGGGGGGGGGGGGGCTAGGGGTGGGGTGTGTGGGTGGGGGGCAATGCAAACATTACTGGAGTTGTCCCTGCAGCTTGGCTTTGACTCATGGAAATGAAGTTAGATAGACATCAGAGCAGTGAGTCCCTCAGCAACCCTAGATGGTCATTTGCCAGTTACACGACCGGGGGAAATCATATCACTTTTCCATGCTTTTGTCTCTTCTTGTTTGCCTTGTCTGTCTGGAATGGCAAGTTTTAATGTGATTAGAGTAAAGAGTGATTATCTCTCAATCTGTATGTGTAATATTAGAGTTCCACACTGAAGTTCCCAAAGTTCTCAGCCAGGGCCACTAGGTGCTGCTGTAATATGAGTAATTAAAATAATAACTATTATTAAGGAGATTTCCTATATTCTTGCTACAGAATGTTTCAAAAACCCTGAGAGCCAGAGGAGAAACTTATTCTTACCCTCCACATTTTGTGAAAAGTAAGAATGGGAAAAAGCTTGATTAGTTATTTTGCTGAAACTTAAAATTCTTCCTTCCACTTTCCATAGCCTTGTGGAAAAACACTGCAAATATATTCCATCTTTTAGGAATGCATTGAAAAAATGCAAAATTTTTATTTTTTATTTTTACCTCAAAGCCAAGCTGTCATATAAGCCCACCCAAACCATGATGCTACAAAATCCTTGACAGCTGCACGACTGTGCAACTTTTCACTTACTGTTTGGCTGTGAACACAGGCAAAATCCTCAGCATGGGGGAGCATGCTTGCAACTGCAAATGATTCAGCAAATGCTCAGTGATGTTATTGATGCTCACATTTTGTACCTGCCAGTTCCATGGCCTTCTAATTAGGCTTTATCTTATTAAATTTAGTTTAGTAACCATAAGCACAGTAGAAGATTAATCAGACTCGTATGAATCACAGTCACAGAGTGCTTGTTGCCTGAGTGTATCAAAACGTCTTTAAGCAGCTGCCAGTGATAGCTCAGAAAGTTATATGACTAAAGTGCTATTTCTGAAAGTTGTGGAGTCAGTGCATCTAACTGGACTTCACAGTGGGCAATCCAAAGGGCTATTTATATTCAGAAATAATTTGGCAAGTCTTGTTCATCAGACCAGTTTTCCAGACACAAAGACTCCACTTAAAAATTTATTCTTGGATTTATCACGCTTAAAAATGAAGTTGAATGAAATTATGTGGATAATCAGGAGAACAGGTTCACTAAGGCAGTTCTGGATTCATTAGTACTAATGAAGTTTTGCTGCTGGGTTACATCAAGACCCAAAGTTAGAAAGCACAAAAATGAAGATGCAGACACTAAGTATACATGGAAAAAAGAAATATAAAGAACAGTATGTGAGAATTAGGACTGTACACTAGATATGGGACAGAATATTCACCATTTAAAGAAATCGCTGTTAGAAAGCATTTTAGAAAAATGCAGAGATGCCAATGCACACTAAGAATATATGTTATTCTTACCATTTGAGACTGGCTCCGGGGACAGCCATTGATATCTTCAACCTTCTCATTTGCTAAACAGAAACAGTGAGGTGAGAAATGAGAAGTAAACAGGGAGATAAAAGTTTTCTCTCCAGCCCCAACCTCGGCAAAACAAAACAAAACAAAACAAAAAACCCACACACACGCCAAAAAGAAAGAGAATAAGCAGAACAGACACAGCGATAAAGTGCACGGGGTTTTGTTGACACAGAGCTCCTTTCTAAGTAAAGCTCCGTTGCACAGTAACATTTCTTGTTAGCAGCAGTTGCTTCCACATGCTAAATCATGCAAAGGGGGAAGTGTGAAGGAGATTGCTGCTAATTCTTCAGCCCCTGCAAAATAACTGCTGACATGAAATCTTCCGCAATTGTCTTTGTAGGGTCAGGATACAGTTTCAAGGCAGCCCAGAAAGTATGAGCCACTCCAGCTAACGAAATGCACACATGGGAGACATACGGCTTAATGGAGCATTCATTTCTGACAATTCAAAGTGTGTAAGATACAGTTCTGGCCATTTAAAGTATGGTTAAACAGACAGTTCCAAACATGCTCACATAAACATATTTTTTAATTAAGACACGGATGAACCACACAAATATCAGAGACATATGGAGTCAGTCAAATCATATTATTCCGGGTTCATCTTATTGTTAAATACATTCAACTTGAATTATATATTCCCCCATGCAAAGAGCTCACAGTACTTCTCCGAGCCTGGGTCTTACCGATGATCTGGATGATTTCTGCTAGCAGAACTCCATCTGCAATGTCCTGTTGCAAATCCTTGATCAACCGCTTGTGGCCAGATTTTGCTAGGTAGTGGTTAGCCCAGTCAGTGTAAATCTGCAGAGCAGAGGGGAGGGCAGGACGGAGAGAGGGGAGAGGGAAAGAAGACAATAAAAATTCTTAAAACAAATGTTGGCTTGCACACGAGAACTATTCCGGATCGCATTCCAGTTTAAGAAGTCAGCACCAAAGGAAACAATTTTAACGTTATTTTTTTTTAAAACAGCCATGCCCCTCCCACTGCCGTTTTCTGTTTTATTTTAACATCAAATGATTCACTCTGTTTCATGAGGGTTCAAGCTTGCTGTGACCAAGCAAAATTCCCCTTATGACAGTAGAGGAAACTCAGGCCATAAATCAGTCATGTCTGCCCCAGTTCTACCTCCTGCCATGCCCCTACCTACTCTCACACCCCACCACACACCCAGCACGCAGAGACTGCCAAAGAGAAAGCGAGAGCAGAAGTGTGTGCCTGTGTTTTGGTGGGAGTTCATTGGTTTGTTGCTTGGGATCCCGTCTGTGACAGCGCTTCTGCCACACTGCTGCAATAATCACAGTTTCCCGCCCTGCGCAGTTCATTTGTTCCCATGGTTTTGTGTGTTGCACAAAAATTGAAAGCAACCAATGGAAGGTTAGAAAGGCCCAGCTGAAAGACATCCACCAAAAGAAGGAGGAGGTGGCTGGAAGCAGGTGAGATGGAGAGTCAGGAACACCATGCCATGCATGCTGAAGGCCTGGAGCACCCCAGAAGGTCTCACGCTGTCTCCCAGCGTGTTTCCCAGCAGGCAAGGCAGCCTGGACCAGTGAAACTTAGCCCAGGCACGGCACAGCATCAGAGCATCAATGGCTCTAGGCAGCAAGGACTGAGTCCTATCTGTGGGGTTCCCACAGTCCCTCTCACCACCCTAGAAGAAAGGACAGACCCTCTTGCTGTCCCTGCATGTGGTTGCTGAAAGAAAGCATATATGCATAGCAGCATCACTATGTAGGAATATATAATATCTGTGGTACCCTCTATGCTGAGGTTATTGTTTGAAATTGTTGACACCGCACCTCATCTATGAGAACAACATGAGGTCACTTTATAAACATCCTTTTATTTAACCTCAGAGACCCTTGGGAGGAAGGGGTCAGAATTCCATTTTGTGAACAGAAAAACAGAGACCAAAGCCATGAACTATTTGCTTAATTCAAGTAAATCTGTGGCAGAACCATGGAAAAATTGGAAATTGCCAGTCCTGAGCCTTATCTGGAGAACCAGCATCCACTTTCCACCCAGCAAAGGTATCATTGCTTAGTCCACACTCAAGTCAGACTCATTTGCACCGTGAAAACCTTTGTCACAGGTTTTCTCACTCTTCAGTAAAATTGACAGGAAATTTTGATTGGTTTGGACAATCCTATATCTCCTCAAAATTCCTGCAAATGGATCACAACTGGTTTGTCTAAGCTTTCTTGGCAGGTTTAAATAACTGTAAATAACTATATGGCATCAAATTGTGGGAGGGGATTCAAGTCTCCCATAGCCAAAAGATGCTGCTCCTTGCTGGGGACCTAAATTTCCCTCCTGTACCCAGAAGTCTGCTTGGGTCATAGGTTTTCAAAAACCAGAACTCTTTTTTTCATTACTACACAGGTGAATCACACGGAAGACTCCATTAAAATGTTTTTCAAAGCCAACAGTAGATATGAAAGTGTTTCTTCAGTGTGTATAAACACATATAATGAATGCCAATGTGGAGTCTCCAAAGATAGTATTAACGAATATTTGGAACAATATGAATTCAGGAGGATAAAAGGCACATACCACACCCATAGCATCATGTACTCCCTACTACTAGTGTTTCAACTTCAGTCATTCTTTAAAAATAATGCATCTTAAGTATTCTCTGAGTTCCCGCTATAAGCTGAACTATTTTCTGTACTCCAATGAAACTGATCCACTGGAAAATACAGAATTTAATACCTACCAATATTATTTTGGGTTGATTCTGTACTCCAAATAAAAATGCTTTACCATGCATGTCATTTTTTTCATTTGTCACACCCACACATAATCTGATGTACCAATCCTAATTTTGACTGCAACTTGAACTACCGTCTCAGTATGTAGCCAGACAAATTTTATTCTAGCAGCTGCTGTGCAAGTATCTAATACTCAAAGAACAGACTTCACCCACTCACTCTTCATATATTTCTTTTTTTGTAAATTTAAAAGTAGAAAGTAGAAAGAATGAAGAATCTGAACAGCAGAGATGGAAATGAATTGTGATAGATATGGGTGATTTGCTACCAAAAGTTCCTAACCCACATCACCCTGGTGGCCGCAAAACTGTACCGATGGTCTGTATTTTGACAGTCCTGAAATGATGGGAAAAAAAGTGAGATGAGGTGGTAGTCAAAGGAGATTTTTCACTTCAAAAAATTCACTTTCAAAAAAAATCAGAAATTGAAGAGCTGTTGACAGAGACCAGAGAGCAAAGTAATATCCAGTTGGCAATGGAATGTCACGTTTAATTTCCTCTCTTTACAAAGGGTCACCACTTGCTTCAGTTTGTCCCCTTCCCCACAGGACTCCGTTTTCATTCATCTCATTCTTCCATGAACCCAACTGCTCAGGAGTCAGTTGTAGAAAATGAGAAGCATGCACATGGATACATGAAATTACAAGAATGTGTGCATGCACTACATATTTCACACTAAATTCTTGGATGCAAATAACAAGGGTCATAGAAAACCCCCTTCACAATGATTATCAAAGTAACTGTAATTTTATCTTAAAATGCTCAGGACAGCAAAAATCTCCAGTGTACGTAATCACTGATGGTACTCAGTTGCAAAGAGAAGTTACACAAAAAAAAAGATAGAAGCGCTGTAATTTCATGCAACAGTTTGCTTGTAGTTGGCATTCCCCTTTTATTGGAGCTCTCCATGCTCCTCCTCTTTTCAGAGCTAGCAGGAGATAATTTCATCTTGCACTAACTGACCAGTAACATTTCCCAAAAACATTTTAATATTTATTTATTATTTATTTTACTTTTTTTTTTTTTTTTTTTTTAATTCTGAGGCTGTTCCAGACAAGACAACACACAGATGGGTCAGTGGTTGCAACACTTCCTCCTCACTGCACTGACCAGCCCAGGAACACAGCCTCAGCCTCACAACTACGTGATGGGGCGGGCTGATGACTTATTCATTTCCTCTCAGGTTTCCTCCCTTAGCACTGTGGTTCACAGACCCAGCTAAAACAGAAGTATCTGCTCCAGTGCAAGGCTCCAACAGCTGAAGAAGGATGGTGGAGTTGCTGCTGTCTGTGGTGTGGAGTACTAGCCTCAACAACCTGATAGCAGAAGAGAGCCAGACTGCGTTTGTATGGTCCAAGCTGTGTCCTGGCATTGGATAATTTAACCGCTTGCAACACAAAGCTGAATTCAGTGGGGCAATCTGAGCTTGGGCACAGCCTGCTTGTGTTAACAATGGTTTCCCCTAGCATTCTTCAACTGCTTGTCATGCTAACCTTCCAGAGGTTAGAGGAAATCAGTTCTCATTCCCAAATATAGTTATGAACTTCACCTCGATACTCCACACATTGCTGTAAGGAACACAGGAGAGCAACTTGGCAGGACTGGTGAAGAAACAAAACATTTTGCAATACGTTAGTTTAACTGAGTGAAAAAGAACAGGGATCTCACAGGTTACTACCATTTGTTGAAAATGCTTTAATCGTAAACCAGGCAATTATACACGAGGTAGTGCTGTAATTAACCTCCTTTAAAATTAATGCAGAAATGCTACCACACCCCATCAATGTCAAATGTGAAATGTCAACTGGATTTCAGAATTACAATCAGTCTAATGCAATAACTCGTAACACTTTGTTAGTGTCTTCCACAAAGCCACCTCAATAGGCTTTACAGAAGTTAATGAGATCGCCCCTAGACTTTATTTAAGACGTAGAGAAACCAACGAATAAAAAGTATTATCAGAGTATTTTTTGTATCTATATATATTTTTTTTAACGTCTTGTTCAAAGGCAAGCAAAGCTGAAAATACAACCCAGATATTATGAGTTGTAATCGTTTTTTTCTTTATATATTTTTTTTAATCTGATTTTTTCTTTCTCTTTTTTTTAATCAGGCAGTTTTATAAATAGTCATGGTGGGAAAATACATATTCCTGGAATCAAGATCCTTCTACATATTTCTGCTTTTTTTGCTTGCTACAGAATATAGATTTTCAGTTCTGAAAATGGTCTGTTGCCACCGAGAAGGCAGCTTTCCATACTTAGTGTGCACCACTGTCATTCTGTTATGTGCCAGTGCTGCTACTTAGGAAGAACAACAGTTGCAGCCAGCTGAGTTATGCTGAGACCTCGTGACAGAATTCCATGCCATTTAGGAGGTTAGGTTATATCTGAAAAGATATTAACACATTTTTCCACTGTATGAAAAAGTTTCCTCCCTAGATATCTGGGAATCAATAGATATTACCCATCTTTCATATTCTGTCCTTTAAAATGCTCTCTAGAATACAACCATGTCCTCCTTCATTAGTATGAAAGAATTGAAGTGCAGTCCCCCAGTGCTTTCTTCCGTTCACAATACCAGCCTCATATTTTGGGGGAAGGGGATGTTTTCAAGAACTTATTTCCCAAAAGGAATCCCTTTACATTAGCAAGCCTCTCACTGTTTCTTTTTTTCCCCTTTATCTTGTAGCAAACAAAAGTTGGAAAAATAGACCAACAGTTATCTATCATGAAAAGTGTTGCTGCAGAATACCTGGGTTGCAATGGCTCACAGCCATATAAAATATTATTTTTCAGTACAGCAAGAGTCTGTCTTTTTTTTGTGTTCAGACTAGATCAATACGTTTGATATTCATTTCTGTTTCTCAAACAAACAAACAAAGAAACAAAAGACCTGAAAAAAGTAGAACACAAAAATTTTTAACAGCCAGCCAAAGAGGAAATACAGTATTTTTAACTTAATAAATGTGTTATGTGACTAACTAGTGTAATGTATTCAGCCTACTTAAAACATGGGCAGTGAAGACAGCTC